CTCGTTGCCGTCGCCGTCGTGGTTGCTTAAGGTCAACGTGGCTACCTTAAGACTTTCTCAAAGTCCGTTTCTGCGGGAGTCCAGTGGGGCGGCATAAAAAGACGACTTGGGGCAAGTCTGGGCTACCTCATGCTGATCAAATTATGTCCCCATCCCTACCCCAGCTGAAAAAAGAGCTAGAGAAAGGTTGGGAGCTAATGTTTGGTTCTGAGCCAGTACGAAATACGGTAAACTGTCCGGTAAATTGCGTCTTCACTTTCTCTCTTCTTGCATTCTTTTTTTCTCCGCTTAGTTGTCCATATTGTGCTTTGTTGAGAATGGTAACTATTGATTTGACTATTCTTGAATTATTTGGTCGCGTGCAAATATGAACTTAGCCACTGCGTCAGGTTTGAGTGTTATTTGAAGTATGAAGAAAAAAGTATTCCGGTATTGTCAATTATTGTTATCAGCATCTTTAGGCAGCACTGTTACATCAAGCTTTGAGCTCTTAACGTAAATAGACACTTTTTCACGAACAGTTTGTCATATATCGATAGCTGGTTAGAATGATAGAAACATTTCCACTTTATCGATCATTTTAGATTTGCAAATACTGGACCTTATAATTAGCCGAATAAAAATTAAACTCTATCTTATATACTAAAACGATGATTCACCTTAGTGTCTGTAAAGAGGATTGATATTTACCTTGCTGCTTTGTAACTCGGTAAATATCCACAACTATTTACCTCCAATTCGGTGAATAATTGTCGATGAGTATATCCTAAAATAGTAGATTGCTCTGATTAGCTACTCACACTCTAAATATGTTTACCTTTTCACCTCCATGCAATGTATGTAGGATTTGTGCCCAAAAACATTGTAATCATAACTGGAATAAATGAGTTAAAATCATCTTATTGTCCTACATCATCTTACTGTTTTAATATATACTATTTACCGCAGTGTGGCTGCTTTGCAGCTCAGTAAATATCTACTGGTAACCTCTTTCACTTCAGTGAATAGTTATTACCTATCAGCTACTTCGCTTCAGAATGGAATTTAATGTCAAGCTAAGTGTATTGTTTCCATCTTGTTGAAGAAGGTTTGTTTTCGTTTTCCATTTTAGGTGGAACAGTTTACAGAGAGTCAAATTGATGGTATGATATACAATGGATTGATAGAAATTATGGTGGTTTATCATGGTGCTCAACTTTAGCCAAAGGGTTGGGGGCCAATTCTCCTCAAAATACATATCCTACTAGGAGTGGGCTGCCGGTTATCCAAATCTTTACCCTTCCTTACAACATTGGACACTGTATTTTTGCTATCTTAACTTGTTTTTCATACCTGGCCTCTAATATCCATACCTAATAGGAATGAATTCTTGGCTTGTGAAAATTGTACATGGTCTCCTAATCCCATTATGCTTTTTCAAGAACTAATAAATTTTACTTGGAAATTTTAGTTGGTGATAGTTTGGTATTTTGGTTACTTTTTTTTATTGTGGTTTCCCAAAACAAAGCCCCTATATCTTGAAGGAGTTAAAGACCATGATGAAAAACTGAATATCCATTTCCAGATCAAGTGGGTACAAAAACCATTCTCTTTGCGATGGCTCACATCTGGCTAGCTTACTTATTAAAATACATAATAGAACACATTTTTGCAGACTCTATAATGTGATAAAGCCATCTGGGATGTTGGGACAACACGAGGAAAGCTTATAAATCACAAATGGAAAAAGAGTGATTTATAAGCTTTCCTCTTGTTCTCCCGACATCCTACATTGTAGAGCCCAGAAAAATAGTGCCTCTATGACATAACTAGTTTCATGCAGGCTCTTTGACCTGATTAAGCATCTGCTTGGAAACTGAATCGACCAATCAGATAATTTGTTCTAAGTAAGCTATGTTATATATGGAGCTCTATAGTTTTCATCACCCCACCCCTATCTACTGAATTGACCTATCAGAGGATTGGTACTATGTAAATTAAGTTATCAATAGCTTTATTATATGGCTGTGTCTCACAAGGACTGGGAACTACCGAATTCATGAATATGATTGGCTGAAATCAATATTGAAAGCAGTCTAGATTTTCCCATCTAGACCAGAATCTAGACCAGTCTAGTAAAAAAGGTACAAAGAATATAAAAAATTGGCATATAAGACACAGCCATATGATAAACATCTTATTAACCGAGCTAGGTCAGTCTGTATGGGAGAATCTTGACCTCGGTCACTGGTACAGACTTCAATGCATTCGGTGTGTACTGGTGACCTCGGTCAAGATTCTCCCATACCGACCTCCCGCTCGGTTAATAAGAACTAAATAATAGTTATCTCTACCCCACCCCCACTCTAACCCCTATGTATTGGGGAATTAAACAGCAATGGTAGCTCAATATTTTTGGACATTTTATGTTGTAAACTTATAATTAATTGAATCAATTTTCCCTTGCATCATTCTACAGAATTTAAGGAGTGCTTTTCACTGTTCGATGGTGACAGTGATGGCATGATAACTGAACAGGAACTGGCACTGACCATGCGATCCTTAGGAGAGAATATCACACACGTAGAAATTGCTGCACTTATGAAGAAAGCTGGTAAGAAAAAGACTGTAATCATTTTAATTTGAATTGATGTTGGGACAAGACTAAGAAAAGAAAACTTTACCATCGCTCACCAAAGTTTAATTATAGTTTCAATTATATGTAAATTTTATTCACTGATTATTTACAAATCTGCTTGGAGTGTTATTAAATACACACAGGCATCTTATTTTAATGAACAAAACACACACAAAGAGAACTGAAGTTTAAGTCAGAGGTGATCCAGCTGATAATTATTATTATGTAATAATTATGCTTATCTTTCATGGCGGGAGCAATTGCAGTGTGACAGGAGTAACTGGCATTACTCGTAAACACATACATTAGTTAGCTATGTTATCAAAGCAAAATGGAATGATTCCCAATTTCCGATTAATTTAACTGTGCCAGTAGGTGCAATGTAGGGGCATTGTGATGACTGAAACTGTAAATTTGTTTTGTCATCTTATTTACTGGGATGAGTAGCAGAGGGTTCACATTTTCTTGCCAGGATAATACAGCAGTTTCTTTACAAACTAACTCAACTACTCAACAAAAGTTTGTGTTTCATTGATTGTCTTTTTATATACATTGAAGCTAACCAGTTGTATAGCTGTTTTTAGTTGGATATTCACCTTTCATCACAATAAGAATTTTACTATTATGGGGTAGAGGTTTATGTCTATTAGTATCTCTGTTGATTTATTATGATAGATGTTATACTCGTAACATAATCGTACACGTGCATACCACGAGGTAATTGGATATTCCAAGGGGACTAAAAAAGCACGTATACTTGTAAGCTGAATCATTGTTCTTGTTTTCTTCAGATGATTAAACTTGATTTTATAATAGACATTCTCGGTTTACTACATATATCTTATTAACCAAGCGCGAGGGCCATACTGGGAGAATATCGGCCTGAGGTCTTGACAGTACGGACCTCGCTGCACTCAGTCTGTACAAAAAAGACCAAGGGCCGATATTCCAGAACGGTCCTGAGCAAGCTTGGTTAATAAGAGATTTATTACATCACTGAAGTTCAAAGGGACACAGGTGCGGTATCATTCGGGACCATTCTGGACAGTGCCCAGTTCAATACTGAGAGAATATTGACCGGCAGTAAAGCATTTTGATTGGTTGATTTTAGTTATTGCCTCTCTGACTTCCCGAGTCCTGTAATAAAATAGGATTATTATCATTTCTGATCATTACCAATTACCTGACATTGTATGTCTGTTGATATCTGATCTCAACTGGACTGCTCTCTCCTATTAACAAATTTTAGGAAAGCAGAAAGTGCGGTTTCCAGAATTCTTGAAGATGATGGCAGAACAACGTAAAAAAAACCTTAACTCAGAGCATGAAATTCTGGCTGCTTTTACAGCTTTAGACAGGAATAAAACTGGTGTAGTGAGTCGCAAGCAACTTCAGCATCTAATGACAGGCACAGGGGATAAACTCACAACTGCAGAATGTAAATGATTAATTGATAAGAGTCTGACAAAAATGATTCATGACAGCAGTTACATAACAAGGAAGAGCTTATAATGTTGCTCGGTGTTATTTTACTTAAGGGTTAGAGATTGAACAGTTAACTTAAAGAGTGACTATCTCATGCTGTATTTGAGATAAAGAGAGAAATTAAACATTGTTTTAAAAGTAGCTGAACACCCTATCCTCTTGCAGGCTCCTGCATTTCAGTGGTTAGCTTGTTGTGCTAATGCTCCCTTACAAATTGTTTCTAAGTTACCCTGCTATCTATGAAACTCTTATCTATATTGCAGGGAGGAACCCTGTTTCTTCCTTTTTTTACGCTAAGTACAATGCACCCATATTGTTCCAATGCCCATATATTCTTGTAAATTATTTTACCCCTAAGTTATGGATGTCCATTTGTCCTCTTACCCTGGCCTATTTAAGTACATATATTTTATCAGTGCACCTAATTCAACTAGTTCCCCTATTCCAGTGAGGTAACCATTGTCCCTGGCTTGTAATCTTCCTTTTGTAAGGTTCTATTTGTTTCATTGTCCCTATGGTTTCTCTTTATACCCATACACACTGTCCCTTTTATCAAAGTCACTCTCTTTTAATAAGTATTTTTCCCTTTAAATGTCCCAGTGTCTTTCTCATAAATTTTTATTTCTTAGATAAGACTCACGTATGTGTTTTTTTTTTTCTTGTAGTTGAACAGATGTTGAAGGATTTGAACTTGGAACATGGCAACTCTATTAATTATTCAGGTCAGAAAGGCACCATGAATTTGTAACTGCATATTCTTCCATTTTCAGAATTTACTTTTGAAAAAAAGTATTAATATAGTTTTCCTTTTCATCCCTGGAAATTCCTATAAATCACTTAGTTTTAATTTTATTTGAAAAAAAAACTTATAGCAGCCTTTTTTTATGGCCAGGACATATAAGAGAGTTTTAACGTTGTTGGATAATAATATACTAAAAGATAAGGATTACCTTTTCTTTTAGCAATGATACCTCCTAAATTTTCTTTTAGATCTTGTTCGAGCTGTGACCCACTGAGGGGAAGCTGATGGTGCTGTTGTAACGTGTTTCTCCATTACCACCCTTGTATAGCACTAAACTTTACACAACTAACACTGTCTTTTAAAGTTAACTATGAAATTTTTAATATGTCAGTTGAGGTTATTTGCAGGAAACAGGAAACTTGGGTGTAAGAATAACTGATTCAGTTGTATTATTTCGTTGTGAAAATGTAAGAAGTATTTTAGCTGCACATGTATATTTTAAAATTTTTATTTATTGTAATGACATGCTATTAAGTATGTTTAATGATGATGCTTTTAGATCTGTTATTTATGAACCACTTGGAATAATTAAGTGGGGTGTAGAACAGTAGCTGAAATAAATGAATGTTAGGAAATTCTGTATGTAATATTTTATTTCAATATTCCTTTTTGAGCAGGGGAAGCGTTTAAACTGGTTTTCAATTTTAAGCTTTAAACCATAAGAAACACAAGTAAAATGATCAGTCAACGAAACGTTGTGATCTTCCTTTCATAAGGTTCTATTTGTTCCATTGTCCCCAACTCAAAATGGTGTCTCTTTCTACTTATACCTATTGTCTCTATTATCAACTGAAACGTGAACTTGGGTCAATAAATTGGGTGGATTTTGTTTTTTTTATCATTCTTCAGTTTCAAAACAATTCAGCTGCTTACAGACAGATGATAACGAAAGCTTGTTATACATTTAATCCTTGTAGTTCAGCCACCTTATGTTGTAATTTAGCAATTTTCTCTTGCAGTTTTAAAACTTTCCCTTGGAGCCTCAACACCTCCTTGTCAGCCTCAGACAAGGGTGTCGTCGTTGTATCCGTTGGCTGAGCATCTTTCATTTTTTGTTCTTTTCCCTTATTATCATTGCTGGCTGTTCTTTTTTCGTCCAAATTGTTCGATTTAGAGTCTTTTTGCAGAGTTTCTTTTGCTTTTGCAGCGCTTTGTTCTGCTCGTATTTCGTCACAGGTTGTCATTTGAGATTGTCTCAAAGCATTCTGGGACGTTGGGAGTGCATTGGCCACATGGGACCTTTCTTCACTTTCTTTTTCTTCCCCATCGACGTAATTCTGAAACATTGGACGAAGCACTGGGGCAAGCAATGCCCATATATAGAGGCAAAGACATGCGCTGCTCGAACCCATTTTGATCCAAACTGCTGGCCAAGATCTTTGAAGCCGCCTGAGGTTTGTAGACGGTGACGGGCTGTACCAATTTGTCAACGTCATCATAATGTGCAATGAAGCAAAGAACAGTGCAAAATGGAATAAGGAATAGTTATAAGCTACATACTCGTCTTCCTTGTCTACAGACTCTACATCGTCGCTGCTTTTCGTTGGAAGGTTGTTTGCTTTTGTTTCGGGATAGTCTTTGTAGCTGATACGCCATCTGTCTGAAAAGGAGATTGTGGTTTAAAAACGCATGTTTCAGGAGCGGAGATCTTGAAAGCTTAGTAGGCAATGGAGCGTCAATGCTTAAGAAGACATGGTGACCCCATATTGGCTGAGAGGATTGCTGGTCAGGTAGTGGGCGTGCGTCCGTCCATGACCATTTTACATGAGTGTAAACATTAACCATTCGGAGGTCCCTTTCAGGCTTAGAATAATGTATATACTGTTGAAAATTTTGAAAATGTTTCTCTTATGACTAAAATGACTAAACAGAGAGACAGAGCTCCAGCGTATTATGATACGAAAATGTTACGAAAAATTTTGAATTAAATGCTCCTCGTTCATCGCAGATAACCCATTCCCCCTCCCCCCCCCAGGTTTCCATTTCAAGTCATTAGTTGGAGAGAGGCATTATGAAGTAAAGTGTCTTACCCAAGAACACACTACGACACCCCAGCAAGGTCTCGAACCCAGACTTCTCGACCGGGGTCCAGCGCGCTAACCAATGAGTCTCCTCGTTTCACACTACACTACGTCTCTCACGTCAAATTATGAACTATAAAGTTTTTTTTCAAGATCGAACGACCTTGATGGACATCACTTCATAAATTAAGATAACAAACAACCATAGTTATCGAACTTACTTAATTTTGAAGCACTCATGGCTGTGCTAAGACTAGCATAAATGAGCATGACAAAAACAAATAGACTGCTGAAAGTTCCCTGCATACTCAAACCTGTCGTCTGGTCATAACCGGATAAGACGTAACCTGGAGGATTGCACAGATCATCTGGCTCGTGCGATAAGGCAGACCACGTGAGATACGTGGTGTAGGTTATCACGACGGATGCTTGAAACAAGCCTGAAAAAAAAAATTATCTTTAGATCTTTAGTTTAAAAAATGAGTGTCGAAAAAATTGAGATGTACGATATCTTGGGGAAGCTCAGATATAACTGCTTTCTTTCGTATTGCGCTCTCTTGGAGATAAAAGAATGATGTGAAAAGAATGATAACTTTCATAATTTAGATTATTCCCCTGCGCCTATCATCTCCGTACACAATCCCTGTCAATATAATGAAAATGAACGTTATAGCAATTTACAGAGAGTCGCGGCTAATTCCAATCGATTATCTTGTGCCTATAAAAGCCGAACAGCTTTTTTTCTCACTCATTATTTTCTCTCACTCCTTATTCGCGGCACAGTAAATTGATGCAAGGGCCCCTGTTATTCCTTTGACATCGGTGTCTGCAAGTAATCAGGGTTCTGACGTCACTTACCAGTGCCTGACTGCGCCTCCTGAACCTTAGGAAGAACGCTGATCACTGTCGCTGCGACGCACTGGCACAAGCTGAACGAGACGAAGAATAAATTGGTTCTACACTTAGCGTCCCGCACAAAGTACTTGTAAAATAAAATCACGGCAACCATGCAGAAGATAAACAGCAGGCCGGTACAAGACAGGAACGACAAATACCTGAGCAAAAGACAGAGAGCTGTTATTTCAACCAGAAGCTCAAATCACCTATCACATCAATTTTTAAGCCTTACCTAAACGTCTTTCCTATAAATACCCGCTTACCAGCACCTTGAACGACAAGGAGTCGGGGCCTTCTCCATCTTCTCGACCCAGGTCTCACTCCACGAATGAGACATGTCAACGAGCACCACAAGTTGAATGAGGATAAAAAGGAATCCACCGACCATACCAAAGTACATCCAAACACGATTAAATGAGAGTGACTGTGGTATCAATAGTGAGCATGTGATAAGAGCTGTAAAAAAAATTAAATCAACATAAAACATAATATTTTATAATTCGTCCCAAGCCAGATTACCCGTAGCAAAGAAATTTTTACTGGCCAGGTTTAAAACGCATCAGTCAATTTAACATTGGAAATCCTTTAAAACTAAGCTGATTGCCCAGATTTTTTAGGTCTGTATTCGTTTGTCAGCTCATAGCCTAATGAGCACGAGTCATTAATTGGCGCGAAAATTTTTGACTGCTGAATTTAAAAAAAATTTCGGTATCAAGAAAAGTTAGCTGAGAAATTAAGATCTAATAGAAAATAAGACCTAAGGAATAGACCTGACGAAGTAAGATTTAGAAGGCAATTAGCAATGAAAAATGTAAGTGATGTTTAACAAGAAAAATAAGGCTCTTACTACCAATCATTACTAACCAATCAACAGCAGAAACTTTATGTACCATAAACCATTGTGAATCCGAGCGCGGAACTCTTCCACACTTTTCACATTAATCGTGATCACTGACAACAATAGATAAAACTAAGCTGTTCCAAAACACACGCGATAAACTGCTGTGTAACCTACTAGATTGTCACAACTTTTTGAGTTCACCATTTCATTGCAGAAATGCGGAATAGCATTAAGTTTATCTCGCATTCGTGGAGCAGAAAGGACAAAACATATTACTGTGACGAGTAGAAGAAACAGTGTGTAATTCACGCGGGTTATAGTCGCTCTTTGATGTCCCCTGCATGCACAGCACAAGGAGCATACGCCCTGATCACCATTCGGGTCATCCTTAGAATTGTCTTTCATGTTATTTGCTGCGTTGAAATCTTTTTCATCTTACCACACTTAAGGGAAAGTTGTGTTTATGTTCATGTCTGGTGGCACAATTGTGTCGGTATAACGTCACGCAATAAAAGTGTTTTCAGCGGGAAAATGTGGCATGAGAAATTAGGTACAAATCTGCATGGTAACTTTCCAAATTGATGAAAAGAACTGGTTGTTCGTTTTTTCATACATAGATTTCTCAGGAATTTGTCGTAAAGAGATTATAAACATTTCTTCAACTACTAAGGTTATGACCCTTGTGAAAATTAGTCGCGATTTCGGTACCTAATGACATAGTTCAACGATCCTTTTATGACATAAAAGGGGAATACTTTGGGCCTAGAATTTGGCTCAACGTTCTCTGTTGTTCTTCGGTTGGTAAAGTATCGCACCACGAAATTAGACAGCCTGTATCCTGTAACAGATTCTCAGTTAATAGAGACGTGCGAAAGAATTGGTGCGCGCAAAATGGCAAGAAAACGGGCGCACAACGGTCAAGGTCGTTAGGGAAACGGTTGCATAACTTTTCACCCATACCTCGAGCGTCCGCTTACTTGCCAATTTTCCAGGACGTTACTTTTTGCGCGCTCTTTTCCCACTCGACTTCACCGACTGATAGCCTTGAGTAACGCTTGAATCATCACGTGAACTCAGATTTTTTACTTCGTCCTTCGCTCGAGACATACAATAAACGTCTTTTCTTATTCCACGACTGCACTCAAAATTTATCCATTCAAGAAGCTTTATTCGTTATCGATTCTATTAGTATACTGGAACTATCTTACATAAGGGCTCATAGCCCGGCTCAGCCAACGAGCCCTCTCACTTGGAAAAGGATCCGTCTGCAACTTCACAGCTGCTGCTTTGGGTTTCAATGCTTCAATGCTTGAGTATGATTGACTTGGATTGTTTTTTTCTCCAACACTCATGAAAAAATGAAAACACATCATTCTTTTCGATAGAGAACTACTTTGTTCGTGGTCCACAAGACACATTGAATTACTGCAAGCCGTGCTCAACTCATCAACTGAAAATGAATTCGCAGGTACCCGCATTGTGTCTAAGTTAAAATTAATAAATTCAGCTTAACTTTTTTTGAGAGAAGAAATGTCAACTAGCTTTTTGATGCCTAGCTTTTGAATACTGCGAACTAATAGGGATGTTGAAAGGGTATCACCAAACGAAATAAACAAATTATTCGAAAAATTATTATTGCAATTTGACTTTTACCTCTTTTTTCTATCCAGTGTGAGTGATAGCGTTACGTGCGGTTTGGAGTTTCACCATGGCCCTTTCCTAGTTTCTAACAGTACCAGCGTATTTTTCGTATTTTCCCCCGCCATGCGCTAACGGTTCATCGATCAAGGCCCAAGAGGAGAAGGACATAAGAGAAAGGTTATTTAATAAATGGTAAACACCACAGCGTACACTATTGAGTTATGGATGCACGCAGGAGGTTGCTAAGCACGAAAGAAGCGTAAGAGTCGCGCGAGGCGATAGCCGAGAGCGACTCTAGCTTCTTGAGTGCTTAGCAAACCTCCCAAGTGCATCCATAACTCAATAGTATACGCTGTGGTGTTTACCATTTGTTTTATAACATAACATTGATACATTGTAGCTAAAGAGTTCCCTTTTATTTAAAAAAATCTTCGCGACCAGAAAAAAACAAGCGCGCGCGGAAAATAGTCTTTGCATTTGCTCACGTCAGCAGCGTACACCCATGGGCAAATAGGGGACGCTAAATTGACCAATCAGAGCGCGCGCTTTACTTAAGTTATGTTATAAAATCGTTTGGCTTTATCAATGAATCAGTTATATTAAGGAATTAAATAAGGATTGGCCAGCGGATAACCTGAATTGATTTCATCATTATTTGATGGCACTAGAGAGCTGTTTCATTTGCAATCAAATATAAGGACAGTAGAGGACAATTATATAAAATATAAACAGCATAAAAGACAAAGAAGCCCTACGATTAAATATCTTTTTTTAATTTTTCATCTTTTGGTTTCACTGAAATCTCAGCGATGGCATTTTATTTTTGTGTATGAATATATGTTTGATACAAATTCTTAAAAAAAAATTTCGTTTATAATACAAAACAAAGTAAAAAGTGAGGGAAAGCGATGAAGTGGAAATCTAGTGAACTGTATTGAAATTTACATAGTGGTATATAGAAAAAAATCACGAGCATACTTTGTTTAAAGTAGCTATACATGCAAGGCTGCTTTTGATTCTCACTCTTAGTGGCTGCTGAAGGAAAACAGAAAGAACAAAGGCTTTTGATCTAAAATGTTTCCTGATTTTTTTTCAAAACTATTCCTTGAGAACGGAAAGCACTTTTAGAGGTATTAGATTTCACCCCAGCTTCCAGTCGAAAACTTTTTCTTTACCACCCAATACAGAGTTATGACTCGAATCTATTCATATTGGGTATGACGAACAGACACTAAAATGCTATCCTCTTTTCGTAACGTTTTCTGTTCTTGGAATAGTAACCTCACCCGTTTCCTGTATTGATAAAATTTTATGCTGGATTTTAACGATTTTCGCCTGAAATCTAAGAATTCTTTCTTGTAGTCTGAGAATTTCCTTGGAAACCTCAGGCTCTTTGACGCTGTTGCTGAAAACGCTTTCTTGCGTAATTTTCTCGAACGGATGGTCTATTTGTATTCGCACTGGCAGAGATGGATTGGGAACCCTTATTTGTTCTTCCGAAGTTCTGTCAGAGGAGCATGATCCTTTCCGATCATTCATCGAAGCATTGCGCGAAAGTGAACTCTCAGCCAACGAAGTTGGTATGAGTTTGGGTTTATCTTTTTGTTTTTCAAAAGTTCTATCACTAACACTGCTGCCACGATTTTTATCACTCGAACAAAGAGGGTCAGTGTCACTTTGGTGTTCTGTTTTGGCTTTAGCCTCTGCTTTACTTGCCTCGCTCACACCAACATCTGTTTCATCACCTTCATTACTTTTCATCGCCTGTTGCAGTCTCCTTTTCCTAGCTTGCCTGCTTTGATCAAGCTCTCGTTTGTCTCTATTCCTATCAACCATGGCTTCAGATGTTTTCAATATTTCTTTGGCCTTCATGAAATCGTCTCTAAGCCGAGCAGCGCTAGCTCTCCTTGCGCTGGGTTGTCTGGCGGGTTCAAAATCCAACCCCAGATAATGGCCCCACGTCCTTCGTATTAAAGGCGCTACCAAAGTCCATATATACACCAGACAACAAATATAACTCGATGCCATTTGCACCCAGACCGCTGCCCAATTCTTTATCATTTTCTTAAAATCAACGTTTTCATCTGGACTGTGCCAGTTGGTCATCACCATCATGACATGTAAAGATGCTAAGAACAGAACAAAGTGAAAGAAAGAGTAACTATACGCAACGTCTTCGCTTTCAAGTTCTTCGGCTCCTTTAACATCCTCGTTAGAGACTTTATCTTGTTGTCGGCCCTACGTGTTTATTTCGGCGCTTTTTCGCAAGTATTCGGGGTTGTCAGATAAGGAGAGTCCCAGTTTCCCTAGCTGTGAAGTGCTAGCACGGACAGTGCACGCAAACGTTAATAAGGCAAACATCAAAAGCGCGCCAAATATCGCTTGTCCGTTCACACCAGAAACCTTGTCATATTCCAGTATGACTGCGCCAAGTGGATTGCATTTTGAGTCTGGTTGAGACGAAAGGGTATTCCATGTAAGATACATGGTGTATATTGTAATGACTGAAGACTGCAGGAGACCAGCTCCCGTCGTTTCTTCCTGTATTCGGGGAAGCACAGAAATGATTGTAGCCAGCGCACAATGCCCCACGTTAAAACTGATATAAAAAGTGTTTGCTTTGCATTGTGATATATCGTCCGGGTTGGTGAAGAAAAGATAAAACATCACAGCCGCCGTGACAGAAATAGAATACACTAAAGCGGTTGAAAAGGCCAGCGAGAAATACCAACATTTCGTGTCCAGCGTGTCCATTTTCTCTGCCCAAGATACACTCCACGAGTGACCAAAGTCAATGACAAGAATTATTTGAATGAGGATGAACATAAATCCACCTGTAAGTCCAATATACATCCATATCTTGCTGATGAGTTCTGAACTCGGTAGATAGAATACGAATCCTATTATCAAAACCATCAGGGAGAGTTTGATGTACCAGAAACCATTGTGAATCCTTGCGCGAAACTTTTTCCTAGAGTGAACGTTGTAAGTGAGGAATGAAAATAATAGAAAAAACATAGACATGGCGATTGAAACTCTGTAAACTGCTCCGTAGCCAACGAAGTTGTCGCAAGTTTGTTTAGATGCGAGTTTCGTGCAGAGGAACGGAATTTTGTCCAGATATACTCGCATATTCGGTGAGAGCATTACAAGGCAAAGAACTGTACCAAGGAGAAGAAACAGGGTGAAGTATAGCCTCGATCTGATACCACCGACTTTCTTTTTACAAAATAAACTGCACGCTGCTGAGCCCGCGCAACAAGCGACTTCACTCGCAACTTCCGCTACGCCCAGAGTCTGTAGAGCTGCTCCCATAGAAACCCATAAAGAACTCTGGGATAGGTTGAACAATAAACAAAGGATCACTCAGAACCATTCAACTATGCCAGGCCTTTCTAGGTGTTCAACTCCAGCACAAAACCTTGCGTTTTGCCTTTTATCTAAAATAAAATCAAGCTGCTGTTTCCCTCTTGCTATGAAGAGACCACGAATCCTGATTAGAACGGCTGTGCAGTAGGAAAAATTTTCAGTTCGTTCTTGTGTTCTTAGGGTTGTCACTCTTTGTATTGTTTACGATGCGTTGTAAGCAATGTTGTGTTAGCTAGCTCTTCTTAGGTAGCAATATTCAGAAAAGATCTTCCTTCAATAATTTTTCAAACAAATGCTCGAGAAAAGAATTGAGCTCGTTTTCTCTAAAACCACACGAATGAACGATTAGCTATCGGTCGATTTAGTTTGTTCAACAGATGAATGATCAATCGACAATCCATCGCCAGTAACGATTGCCGTCCATACTCCATATACTCCACATAACTAAAACGAGGTTCAGTGCAAAGTAAAAGGTATGTTTCTTCCTAAGTGAAGTTCAAAATTCGATGTGGTAGATGCTGAAACTCACGATCAAATTGCCAGCTCCTCTGCGGAAACGCCTTGAAATTGCGTAGTTTGGTAATGAACGAAATTACTGATCAATCGCGCGTAAAATTCACCTCAGAAAACACCGTCTTCCAATAGACGAGATCTCCAACTGGCGTGTGATTCGAACGAAGACAATTTTGATCTTTTAACTGCTCCTTTTTTTGGATAAATCTTGGATATAGCCCACGACCATCCAGAACTTTTCACTTTTTTCTCCCGAGCTACTTGTTGCATGGAGTGTATTGTTATTTTTGGTCGTGACAGGATTGAAACCAAATTACGCCACCAGTCAGCAGGTGAAAGAGTCAATAACCGGCCGCTTGAGTCTGCCATACAGGCCTACTGAGGACAGCGTAGAGTTTTAGAGGCAAAGCTCTAGAGGCGCCAAATCGAAAAATTTTTAGTCTTTGTGATTAGCGATTCCTCTAAATTGAATTACAGCTCTTCCTGTGGCCTTCGTATGTAATTTCTCATTTTTCCGCAATAAGAATCCAACAATAAAATAAGGTTGTTCGAACAAATGTAGTGAGAAAGAATTTTTTGAAATGGTTCGAAGTCAAAGCGAGCGAAGTGACCGATTATATTCCTTTAGAACAAAATGCCAACTAGATCAGGTGGTAAATCTCAAAACACAAATTCCATTACGGTGGCTAATACATTGTATTTTCGAAACTTTTACGCTGTTAGTCTAAACGAACAAGACAATATCGTGTAACTTTTGAAATTGCAGCTACCTAAACTTAAGAAACACAAGGTTTACAAGAGAACTTTTTTCTTTAATAATTCAGATTTCTGCTGGTGCTTTGTGATTATCTACAGTTTAATAAAAATCATTTACATAGCCTTTACTTTTACTCTACTTTGCAAAGAGTTGGAAATGATGTTTGAGTAATAATAGTGTAACCTGATAATGGGCAACATTAACATGTCTAGCCATTGACGGATGAAGGCTTTTATTTGTTACAAGGAAAAAGAAAATACAAACAAACAAACCGTGGAGACAAAGCTAAAAAACGTCCATGTGTATCGTGAAACAACGTTAACATAGCGGCTTGTGGCTAAATTTCTGAACCTGAACGTTCTACCCCTGTTTCCAAACTAGAGAGGAGGACCTCCTTTTTTTTTTTCTGTAACCCGCGGAAGCCCTCCGTTTTTCAATTCTTTATGTTATTCCCATGAACTATTTGACGAATATGTAACAGAATGCCTTGATAGATATTACTTTACTAGCTTCATCAGAATTAGAGATATATTCGTTTCCACAAGTGTTGTTAGTTCCTGAAGTGCCAAACCCAATTTTTGTATCGGGATCGCCATTGCATGGTTCTCCGCTTCGTGCTATCAATCCAATTCGAGCTTTTGCACCATCTCTGGAGTTCTCTTGTTCGACGTTAAAACCACCTTTTCTGCTGTTTGAACAGTTCTGAAGGAACAAGAAAAATACTTTTTGAACACTTGTCTTTTCATAACCCTAATTAGAATAATAAGAGAGGATAGCTCAAAGGCAAAATCTAACAGTCAGGTTGGTTAGGGAGGCCCTCATCAATTGCTAATTATAGAATCAGTATATAATAAAATTAAGAAATAATATCTGAGTAATTTTTTAACAGGAAAGAGAACCGCGATTACAGCTTTAAAAAACGTTTATAAATTGTCTAGGCTACTATTCCAAACGCCCACGTACTGACATCGGCTTCCAGGCGTGAGCTCCTCTGTATTTGAATAACCTTTGTTCCGTAGTTGTGGATAGCTTTTAGATTTCCGCCCGCGGCTGTCCTGATTGACTTGAGTTTGGTGTTTTTCTCCTACATGTTCAAAGCTACTGTGCGCAGATAATCAAGATAACGTTTGTTAATTATCTTAAGCATGTATACTGAAATTAAATCTTCAATGCCCTGATTTATAGTCATCCACTTTATTTTCTCAAATAGTTCAGACGATGAAACTTCTTGAGGTTGCTTAATATCAAAAACTCAATGAACCGCATACTTCTGCAACCTGATGCAAACCCGATCTAAAGCCCGATGAAAGTTTTTCTATGACGTCGCTCCCCGAATGACACAGAATAACCAATGATAAGTTGAATTGAAGTGTTCAGTGTTAGAAGTCCGCTTTCTAAAGCATTGAGGTCAATCTATTTTGATTACTCTTAAAAGATCGATACGTTTCAATACTTTACAGCAGATGTCGTAGACAAGTGAATTCCAAGTTGATTGTCAGTCGAGAACAAGACCGAGAAGTCTGTGATTGTCCACAGTCAACCAGTACAATGTCCTATTAACTGAACTGATATTGTGTTGAATGTTACAGTTAAATTGTCTTCTACCTACTTCTGGCATAGAAGATCCGTCAATCAATGATGTCCAGTCAGAAAAATGAATTCCTTTGAGACCCTCCCGTGAATTCCTTTGAAAAATTCCAAATAGATCATTGTTTCTATTCCAAGGTATCTTGAGCCATCTTGTGTGACCGTGAACTTTCATTCCAACACAGAGGCCCTCTGTAATATAGGCTCTCGAAAAGAAAAGAGATTTTGTTTCCTGTTTTGAAAGAAAAGGTTATATTGAAGTTATCTTCAGCGTGAGAGAGAGAAAGAGAGAGAAAGTTTTTGATCGAAGGCCACTGATGTTAGAATGACACCTTAGAGCTTACTATCAAATTTGATTCATTTTTTTTTAAATACCTTGTCATCGAGATCTTTAGCTTCCTCTGGTTTGTAGGCTTTCTGATTTGTCCACAACTCAGAGGAATATGAGAATGTTCCCTAGGACAAATTCTCAGATAAATTTTGGAGCTACTTTTTCAACAAAGTAATACTACTATCTTTCATTAAAATCAGGTTTAAAAGGTAAAGTTACTGCTTTTGATAACCACTACACCTAAAAGTGTTGATCTTATAAAGACTATAAACAAGTGTCTACCTTTCACTCTAACTGCCTAAGCTTGAGTTAGTTACTCGGTCAGTCAGTTTGCAATTTGGCTTTTCAGATGTTAGCATTTTTGCGAGACCGTCTGTCTGTCTGTCTGTCTGTCTGTCTGTCTGTCTTTCTGTCAGTTGAACGTTCGTCAGTCAGTCAGACAGCCAGGTCAGTAGTCGGTCAGTTACTTATTTCGTTCGGCTGATCAACGATCTGATTGACTAACTGTCAGCCGTATGTCTATCAGCCAATCAGATCGTTGATCAGCCGAACGAAATAAGTAACTGAGACCGTTCGCACTTTTTACATGATGATCAGTCAGATAGCCAGGCTTCATTCCCGTAAATTGTGCATTATTACTACACTAAAGTAATTTTCATCTGCTTTTCGTGAGTAAACTAGGAATACATTGGTTTTACTTCTATATTATCTATGATTGATCAAGAAAACTCCCTCAGTCTCTCAACCAAACAGATGCAATACGAAACCAGTGACGCGTTTCCTCGCACTTCAAACAGTTCGTTGCTGGATGTCTGCAGTTCTTGCTGGCTCATTCTCATTGGTGATAAATCAAAGTGCACTCCAGGTACCAAAATACCAAACAATTAGGCACTATGATTGATGCTGTTACTGTTGTCTCGAGGAGGGGGTGAGCGCAAAGTCGGGGGACGGGAGGTAGGCACAGGTGCATACAACCCGCCAGTGGAAAGAGGTCTTCCGAATTCATCTCAGCATCATAAATCAGAATTCATCTCAGCATCATAAATCAGAATTCATCTCAGCATCATAAATCAGAATTCATCTCAGCATCATAAATCAGAATTCATCTCAGCATCACAAATCAGACTTTCAAAACACTTATTTACCTTGCTTCCGTTTATTTTCAAAGCTAGTGTCCAGCCTCCATCTCCACACTCCAAGGTATTTTCCATTTTACAATAAATCAAACTTATTTCGTCTCCTACTCTGATATGATAAGAACCGCTAGAAACAGTTCTACGAGATAAGGAAATGTGATGAAAGTAAAACTATAAAATAGTTGATGTATATGATACAACGTATCCTGGCGAGTATCCCTCAGAGGTGCGTGAAACCCCTACTATACTCTGTGTCATAAAGCCAGACCTGTTTCTGGCTATACTCCTCTCCCCCCCCCTCCCCCTCGTTTTGTCATTCGTCACAAATCTTCCACCAGTTCGATATGGCGACCGAATATTCGCCGCGCTGAATCTCGAGCATTAAAACGCAAACTACCACCTGCAAGTAGGCTGGTTAGTCTAACAACAGATGCTTTCCGTTATTTTATGTTGTGAAGCAGTAGACTCCTCGAGCGGCCAGAGAGTTTATTTCGGTTTGTAGAAAAAGGAGGGCCAGAAATTTAAGAACATCATGAGTGCAGAAAAAACAATCTTGAAAGTCAACTTTACCCACGATAACTCACCTGTGTTAGAGAATATCCAAGCATGACTTGCCAGGATTACTTGGATCATCTCCTAATTCTTCAAAGAAAACAATAAGAGGAAAAACAAAAGACAGATGGAAGTTAACTTGAAAAAGAAAAACCCTCATAGCTGCATGCTTTTCAGTTTTTTCTTTCTAAAACTCACTTGGTTTCCAAAAAGTGTGTTATTTTATTTTGAATTCAGCCTTTTATTTCCCGAGAAATAACATTCATCAAAGAACACGAGAGATTACTTGAAAATGAAATGATTCACTCAGCTTGCAAGTGAACTCGCTGAGAAATGAAGTAACTCAAAGATACGCAATGAGAGCGGATTTACTTTTGATGTTAAATATGCACTTAAAACACCTATGCATCACCCTGCGCGGTAAACTCAAAGCTTTGTTTGCAGTTTTATTTCCTGAAAGGAACTCTTAGCAAAAAAAAAAAAAAAGATTTTCAGTATTCACCTGCCTTGACTTGTTTTGTAGGAACTGGCTAAAAATGCATACGAAAAAGAAAATAGAATGAGTTAAACACTGACTATTTCAATTAGAGATCAGTAGTCACTGAATCTTTTATTCTTTTTGCTTCAGCACAAACATTTAAATGTGTAAATTGTTGATAACAGTGTTGTGGTGTTGTCTAACCACCTTTTGCATTGGATACTTCACTATTAACATCCAATAAGATGTTAGATATTTGTACTTTTATATCTTACTCTTCCTAGACCCAGTGCGGACAATGCAACTCTGATGTCGAATCGAATTAAACAGGAGGGAAGTCCGCTATAGTGAGAGAAGTCGCCTGAATCAATTCCGCCTGGAAAAACGGCGCGTCTGAATCAATTCAATGCGTCGTAATTCCTTTAGGCTTGCCCAATTTCAGATCCTTTCGACTCAAGCGAGGAAAAGCGCTAAAATGACGTGGATATTTTTAATATCTTTACTTGACAACAATCTATTCTCTTTAACAGCATGGTTCGAATCAAAACTTTGCAAGCCAATTTCTAATTTGAGAATGCGAACAGGTCGATTGTCTCGAATTGGTAAAAGCGATTTTTCAAATAAAAAAAAACACCTGCGGTGTTTTACCTGCGTCTACTATGAATCATTGCAATAGCTATTAAATTCAAAATAAAAAAAAAACAAAACAAAAAAACAAAAAACAGCTATCCAGTCAGTTCTAATCGGTCTTTTTCTATTCGATTTTATTCCTTCGAAATACACGATCCTCTCTACTGCGAGGATCGTGCATCATACGGAAATATACTATCTTTTTGGGTGTTATTGTCTTTTAACTTTGTTTCCACAACGATTTGTGAATAGATTCATTGCTCTTGAATAAATATTTCAATTTCCTTCATAACATCTTCCTTAAAATCTAAATATTTGTTTTTCTTTTTCTTAGCCGCTGGCAAGGTAAACATGATGTATACCAGTTGCCACGGGTTTTGCTCAATATTACCAGGCAAATTATAAACAAGTCTTATTAAGCTGACTAAAGGTTCTATCGTTTCTAAATTGAAGCATCTGAAGTCAATGGCAAAACAAAATAAAGGTTAATGAAAAATGATATATTTGAGTTTCTTCAAACAGTGGCTTCGAAAGTGCCCATCTTCAGCGATCGAAATCTGCCTCCCAGGCTCTCATAAGTAATATTATGCTTCAATGGTTCTTGTATTGCCGGTATCGCAATATAAAACATTTTAAAAAGCTTATCGAGTTCAGTTTTGTCTAGAGTGTGCCTTCCTTTTAATTCTGGTAGAAGAAATGAATGTAATGAGGTTTTTTTCAAAATTCAGTCATTAGCTTTTAATATGTTGTGTAGCCTCTGGTGTGAAAAAACTGTAACATAATTTGACATTTCTTTTTTCAATCCAAATGCGCGTGCAAGCCAGGCAGTCTTTTCCATTGAATTGAAAGAAACACGTAACGTCATAAAAAAAAAAAAAAAACAGTCACAATTCTTGTTGAAAGAATATTTTCTCGTGATAAATCAACGAAAGCCGTAATTAATTTTTTCTCGTCGTATTTTTCGCAACTGTGCAAGAGAACATGGAGTAAAATTGTTGGCAGTGATATTTCGTGAATATCTGTGTCCACTGCTCTCCATTTTACTTCTCCCTTTAATGGAAAACAAAGAAAATAGCATGGAGCATTTTATGAATTAATAGCACTGACTGCAATAAAGAGATTTGTGTTGGTAACAATTATTTAGTTTTACCATAGTCCCAGAGTTGGTAAGTTTATTGAAAACATCATAACTCAACAAATCCCGTTTTAAAATTCATAACAACTTTCACAGCAAACTCGCTGTTTTAAAAGCATCAACGAAATAAATTCTCAAAATTTTGACAGATCGAATTCGCGGGAATCATCTTCATCTTAATTTTCTGCTATATGTAATGCAATCTTCATTAAAAAGGGTCACTTTGCAACAAGTTTTAGAGAGGAAACAAATCTCCACTGATTTACATAGTTCTTACCCTTATCTGATGAAACACCCATTCTCTTGAATAGATCACCTTTGCACTGTCACATTGATTCGTTATTCCATCTGAAATCAACTCACAATTCCTGTTTTTTCCTCCGTAGTTATACGACATACAGCTTGCTTTGTGATGGCAAGCTTGGAGACATGTCATCCAGTCTGTATTGGAAATCGTGTCTTCTACCAACCCACGAAAGTAGCTATTTTGGTGAGTCGAACATGCGGTGGGTCCAAATTGGACCAAGAGCAAGAAAGGAATTGCTGCCAAAAACATATTGACCAATGTTTGTTCGATGCTATTTAAGACGAAGGCATTTCTTGTTGTACTGTAATTCCCTTTGGGATTAAGATATCGCGAACGATTTGTTCACCTCTAGCACTGACAATCCAAACAACTTTCTTCCGCATGAATTTTCAATTCTTTTCACAATGATAACGTAAGTAGTTAAATAACAAATTAGCATGGAAAATTGGAAATTTCCGACAAACTGGTGACGTAGAAAAAGTGATCCTGTGTACGTAAGTAGCAACAATCAATAAACTTAGCAGTTTTATTTACGTTTTGACAGCAGACGTCAAATTGTCAATAATGTTTAATCTATTATAGCGAATGTGAGAAGAACACACCAGGTTAATATGTGAATAATCCAAACAATGTCATCGCAAAATACGTTTTAGTCCAAGTTATGTGAAGAAGAAGAGTCGCTTGTTTGATTAAGACTCGGAATCCGCAGGAAAAATTGATTAAAGTCTAATTAGGGAAGTTAACTCTTGGCAAAAACAAAAATATATCTGCCTTCATGAAGATAGGTGTTTTAGAGCAAATAGTATATAACGAGTCAGTTGTTGTCAATTCGCTCTGCGGAACACAGACGCAAGATGTTTAATGGCGCGCTAAATTCGGCGGTTGAGGAACCTGATTAATACTCGATTGAATTCCGTTTATAACGAAAACTTTTCTGAAGATATTTTAAAACTGAAAGTGGAGCAGATGGAAAAACTCATCATTAACACTTTATTCGCCTTTGTGAATCAGCCGCGATGATTCATCAGGAGTAAAATACCCCAAATGTTCCTTTATGATATCCCATCAGTTAAGATGCAGACAATCATTTTGTGGTCTCGTTTAGAAATTCGCCGTACAAAAAAGGATAGATTATTATAGATGTAATCTTTTTTTGACAGTGTGAATATATATCTATGTATTCGAAAGAGATTAGAGTAAGTGTGGCACCAACGCAGTTTATTTTTGCGAAAAATTAGTATTCAGACAACAGTGACAATAGACCACAAAACACCAGTGTCTGAGCTTATTTCAATAATAGAATGCAAGGACTTTTTTTTGCTATCCATTGAACGGTACATTCGTTGGAATCTTTTGAAGATAATGCCCTTTTTCTTTTACAAAAATGCAAAAATCAGTTAGTCCCATCCTAACCCACCCATCAAAAATGATAAATAACGCATGCACGGCATGCAGGCCTATGTTACACTAATCTTCAGCTAATGGCACTCTAACCTGTCCATTTTGTTTCTTTAAAGGATGGTTGCAGTTTTTGTATAATTTTCAAAACTTTTGAAACCCCATCCTGAATGAAATCAGAACGGCTTCACGGGCTCGTTAAGTTACCAGGACCTTCAAGAGACAGATCCCTCGAACTGGTAGCGATAAGCGAAAGGAACTCTCAATGTCTGTTTGGTAATTTCAGACTTCCTTTCAAAACGTTATCTTCTTTGCAAAGGGAAAATTTCTGGGGGGGAACGGGCGGGGCTGGGGGTGGGGGTGGCTTTCTATTTACATTTGCATTTAGTTACACGGTCTATGCTGCTCCACTTTGTCCCACTTTACTAGATTTATCAGATTCCTGCCACCTTTGTGGACGTGAGGGTATAAGAGAGCTGAGACTAGAATAAAATGAAGTAGAAATATTCTCCCGTCCTTGATTTCATTTCGTTGAAGCCACCATTACAATTTTCCAACCTCACTAGCCAAGCGAGAAATACTGGGTCGAGATCCCTGCATCCGCCATTTTTTGAAATTACAAAGTAGTCAGTGATAGAACCCTAATTTTCGTGTTTTGGCTCCAGCAAATCAAAAGTAATGAGTCGCAAACAAACTCCAAGTGACTTTCTGAAACAAATTATTGGTCGTCCTGTTGTTGTGAAGCTTAATAATGGCGTCGATTACCGAGGTAACGAGATTTGTTTCACTTTCTGCGTCATTTCACCATGTGCTCTCCAAACTAACAACGTTCAAATTCAGAAAACATTAACCTTTTCAGGATATTTTAAGATGAAGAGACTTAATCCGTTTCACGTCTTCCAGTTACTTATGGTTCACTTTTTTCGCTGTTGTATTTAGGTCATGATTCAGTTGACCCGTTTCACTTCGTTCTAGCATTTAATGAAATTAACTTATAATTAAGCTTAATATAAACCCTCGGTTCAATTAAAAAAACAAAACAAAAGCAAAAACGTATATATATATATATACGTTTTTTGCTTTATATTGTAAGAAATATACAACTTTTTTTAGAGACATGTTTCGGCATGCTTATGCCATATTCAATCAATGAGTAACTGAACGTGAGTAATTATATAACAGACAAGTAGATGAATAAAATATTTCCAGTTTGATTTAATACAAAAGCGGGGAAACATGGCTAAATAATTTTAACCATTCGACTCGCCTTCG